CATTATAATACTGCAATTCTTGCATGCTAAAACACTGTTGAAAAATCTTAAACTCAAGTTTTTGATATTAGTTGACTTGAATCTTTGCATAAAGTTTGTTAATCACATGAAAATGGGGGTAGGGTATCATGGTAGTTGACTAGTTTGGCAAAAGCAACTTACTGAATCCATCTGTGCATAAGTTCCTGTTGGAAAGAAGTGTTCGCTAAAAAACTTGAAACTTGATGTGCACAAACAGTTCATTGCATTTATTCTAAATCATAATTGACAATTTGTACACATTTGATCTGTCTAATTTGAAGTTTTATGTATTATTTTTCAGTCAAAATGGAAAATTCAGCTATGGATATGCAAGCTCTCCTGGGAAAAGATCTTCAATGGAAGATTTCTATGAGACAAGAATTGATGGTGTTGATGGAGAGATAGTTGGCCTATTTGGAGTTTTTGATGGTATCTCTCTCACTTTTAATGTGAAGGTTTCAGAACTAATCCATTAAATATAACCTTGTCATTTTCAGCCTCTATTTGTTAAATACATTATGGGTGGAATCTAGCTATGAATAGACCAGCATGTTCGCTACTATGGTATACGTTAATTTGTAATAGGAGGATGTGGCTGAAATGCTTTTCTCAAGATTTAGTTATCTGTTGCTTTTTTAAGTACAATATAATATACAAGGCTAGACAAAAGTTGACATTGACTCTCCAACATGAAATAAAGCAATGATAACTGTCGAGCCAAAGCTTGTTAGTTAGTTATCTTAGTTAAATCTATTGTTCAACTGATTTTCAGTTTTTGATAATGGATTTAAGCCAGTACGTTTGATTCTTTCTGAAGGTAGCTTCGTGTCTCTGTATGCTTGAAGAGGACTAAGCTTGCTTACCAGGCGTCATAAATTTTTGTTAAACGCAGTGGAAAGTAGGATTCAAACTCAATTTGCAAACTCTATAATGAAAGCTTAATGTCATATGAGCTAGATGTCCTTGGTTACTAGGATCATAAATTGACTGTGTTTCTGTCAGGTTGCTTTTCTATGTATTTATGTATGTATTTATATAGTTCCTCCGTTACGGTACCACATACCTCTGAAGTAAGTTCTTTGCAAATGGTTCTTTCAGGTCATGGAGGTGCACGAGCTGCTGAGTATGTGAAACAAAATCTTTTCAGTAATCTGATCAAGCATCCAAAGTTCATTTCTGATACCAAATCAGCTATTGGTTATTATTCTCTTGCTGATTGTACCTGCATAGTTCAGTTAATAATGCCATATTAACTGCTTGGCCATCCAACTGACTTTGTTTTAATTTTTTAAATAAATTGCTTTCATCCTCCAGCTGATGCATATAATCACACAGACTCTGAATTTCTAAAATTAGAAAATAATCAGAATAGGGATGCTGGTTCAACAGCTTCTACAGCTGTACTCGTTGGTGATCGTTTGCTTGTTGCAAATGTTGGAGACTCTAGAGCTGTAATCTGCAGAGATGGCAATGGTAAGTCTCAGAAGCTTTGTTTTCTATTTCATTTTCTATTTTTGCGTTTCATTTCCATGGTCTCCTTTGCCTTTTCTTTTTTTGTTTGGGGTTATGTGGGAAGGGATAAGGGATATGATTCTTTTTTCTGTTCTTAATGGAAATGCCAATGAAATAACTCAAGTGACTCGGTCATGGCATCTATTAGAGATTGCATCCATTTGGGAACTGATAGATATACGACACATGATTATGCTAGCTGTTAAAAAAATGTAAGCTTCTATTTCTTTTGCTAATGGCGTTCAATGTTGTCATCTTTTACAATTATTGATACCTCACTTG